ACTACTACTACTACTACTACTACTACTACTACTACTACTATTACTACTACAATCATTACACAAACCCAGGTTCACGACAGCATTTCCGCTGGATCTCAGAGACAATTCAGCATTCCGATGCAATCTTTTACGATAACCAAGTACCAGCGAAGACACGGACGCACTAAGCCGATTGCATAAGTCCAATCAACCGCATTTTTCATGCACTGCGTTGAACCGTTTCTACCCAAGGCAATCTATCATCGTGTAACAGGATTTAAATTTCAAATATGACGTAAGAATGCCCAAGTTTGCTCTATGTTAGTTCCATTAACAATCGTAACAATCGTGCTTAAACGAAGCGGAGTTGTTGCGAGTCACGGCAGCAATTAGTGGAATAAATTGACCGCCATCATCTATGAATAGTCCACGGATAAAATCAGTCCTCGAATGTAAGCCCTGTTTTTTTTTGGGGTGGGTTTAGTTCCATACGTGTTGAAAACTTTTACTTGGCATTCAAAATACAAACAGAGCTTTTCTGACATGTTTTGTTCTTCCATCGTATCAAGAAGAAGCGAATCTGTGTGTGTGTGTATTTGCTGATGGCTTTCTAACTCTAGGCCGCAAGTTTTCAAAATCCAAAACATTCTCCTTTCAGCAGCTCTGATCATTATATCTGAAAAGTATTTCAAGCTGTACACGGCCAAACTAATCAGTACACGTTTTTTAGGAAGACCGTCCAAGATAATGAGTCAAAGGAATTGTTCATCGGAGCACCTGATTGCCGCCACAGATTTTCCGATGTTTCCAGATCAGAACCCTTCTGTCCTCTGTGAACATGATACGGACTACCTTAATCTCTGCTCTAATCAGTATCGCCCACTTGAAACGGTGTTTATCCATAAAGACAGATATTGATCACTGCTTCTAAAACATCTACGCAGGAGCAAAGAAGAGGCCTATAAGCGTGGACAGAGAACCCATCTCAAGCGACTTACCGTTTCGATCAAATTTGAAATAAATCTGTTGAATAAATTGTACATCGATACTACCCTGGGAAGCTCTAGTTGTTGAGGCATGTGGAGAGCTCTCAACCGCCTGTGTGGCAGTAGCAACAAACACAAAAAGGAAACTGTCGATGTTGAAAGACTAAATTCCGAGTTTAGTCCAGTCTCACAGTGCACTGCCCTGACAGACTTAGTCAGGTCTATGCTAACACCAAATATCGAACCCACCACGGTCCTGCAACAGTTACTGAAAAGAAAGATGAATAAACCATCGGACCCGGATGAACTATCACCCGTAGTACTCAAGGCGTGTGCGGACACTCTTTCAGCCCCATTGTCTCAAATATTCAATGACTGTCTGATAAGCGAAAAAATCGCTAATATTTGGAGACTGGCTAAGATAACGCCCGTTCTAACAAAGGAACCTGGGAAATATCGTCCCATCACCTGCACGTCAGTCATGCTCAAATTATTTGAGAGATACTTGGTACCTTGGGTTGTCACTGAGTTTGCGGAACACGATATACATCAATTTGCATATTGTTCTTCGCGCTCAACACCACCATGGTTTGGAGTTCTTGGGTGACCGGGGCCGGCTGTCATCAATGATCCAGCAATGAAAACCAGTTACGCCTTAAGTGTAGCTCGCCTATTCCTGGCTCAGCCCAAAGAACCGAAAGAAACAGAGCACACAGTCGATCTTTTTGATAACATCGACCAGTTACACAACAGTGCAACGGACATTTTTTCACAAGTTGGTGGTTAGCAAACAGACTAAGCTTAAAATAAATGACCATATTGGGAACTCTGATAATAAACTGTGGTAATTTCCAAGCAGAAATTCAAAATAATTCGACGGAAATGAACATCAGCATTTTTTTTTATTGGATTCGTTGTAAAAGTCAGTTACAGTCAATGAGGTAGGCCAGCTGATAAATGGTGTTTGCTGTCCGCATCACTTCAATACCAAAGGAACAAAACGCGAAAATCTCAGCCTCAGAGCATGATGGTTATCGAGTCGGGTCCTCATCGATCCAGTGATTCGATTTCCGTCAGCCAACCCGACAAGATGCACAATTGAGGTCTGCCTCAATTCAACAAAGAAAAAAAGAAAAAGTGAGAAGAAAGGTGGTCAATCCGCGGATAGAAAAAAACGAGTGATCAATTGACCAATGCGATTCGCTGAACGGAAGTGAATCCAACCACAGTGTTTCTTTCTTCATTCAACGTGACCGTTTCTCAGTTCAAAATGATGAGCTCACAATTCAAAAAGACAGTTTCGCAAATCAAAATGATAGTTTATGAAATTAATCTGAAAATGATATAGTTGAACTTGTTACGATGGAGCTCAAGGAACCCGTCAAGCCGCTCATGCATTCGCGTCACTCCACAAGCACGCTCACAACGCACAAGACAAGCCGAGTGAGGATTGGATGACTGCAGAACGAATCAACCAGCAGTTGTCCGATCGATCCATCAGAATGTCAAGGACGCAATATAATTGGTGTGCCACTGTACCCTTCTCGAATGCCTGATTTACCCTATGTATTTGCTGAACTGAATTGCCCTACTGAATTTTCGAATACGCTCTGAATGTTGGCTCACATCGTGTTCTCTCTGCAAGAGGCGCCCATGTCTAGACAAAACACAGTAGAACCGCTCGTTCCTCTCGACTCACAAGTCAATTCGTGGCTACTATTTTCTCACATCCCGAGGCCATTCTTTCGAGAGAAAGAAAGCCGAAATAATCACTAAATCGAAGTGTTTCGTCTATTTTTTCAAGACCTAGCTACCCGAATGATAACTGAGCAAAAGGGGAAAAGCAATGAGCAGTGGTTAGGAGATCTTAATCTCTTCTCGCTGGAGCTTAGACGAGTAAGATGAGATCTGATAGTGACTTTTAAAATTGTAAGAAGTCTATCGGGACTCAAACTAGCCGATTCGTTTACCATTTCTCGTGCTCAAAATACAGGAGGTCATGGCTTTAAACTTGAACAGAATCACTCCAGGTTAGAGGTACGGGCCAAATTTTTCGAACACATGGTCATACCTATGTGGACACAGGTTACCCGCAGAAGTGGTCAACAGTACCAATGTGGACGTTTTCAAGGCGGCTCTGGACGCATAGTGATTAGCAACGTTCCCCGAGGTTAGTATTTAGTATTTAAAGTGAGAACACCCGGAATAAAACCCACCGTAGTCTGAAATCTATGAAGTAGATTAAACTCGGGCTTGATTGCTGGGATTTGTTCTCAAACTGACCGTCCTACCACATGTGCTCGGTACATAGGATCAATCACCTGTGCACCTGAAGGTCTCTTACCGATGAGGTAAGGAGACATCCTTTTCAGCTTATCCACAACAACAACGTTCTAGAAACGGGGCTACGTTGACAGGATTACACGTGACAGGTCACCTATACGCAATGTTGGAAGCTACTCTCAACCGCCGACAACACAACGAACTGGACGCTCCATTGTCCTATTTGTCCCGTACAAACTGAATGGACTGAACCTCGCTCCAGACAAGCGTCTGTCGGGTGACGAAATTACATCGTTTTGGGTCCACAAACCGTAAGCTTCTCGATAAGGACTCCGCTTTTAGTGATGAATATTGTCGTGTTTGTGGGCTATTAGTGCAGTATTATTAGTTCAGTACTGAGTCATGGAAGTTGTTGCCTTGGTGGTAGACTTCTTGGGGGTTTCTGGAAATTGAAGTGTAGATGTTCCGACACAATAGTACCCGGACAACCCAAAACACCGTTACAATTTTGTTCTGAGTCCACAGATCGGAACACTGTAGAATTACAAATCTCTAGAAGTTTTTATACGGCACCAGTGACGAAATCGGATACATTATTTACAAGCGAACTTGAATTCAATGG